TATGATGTATCAAGTTTGCTGGTTCATACTGTTAGAAAGTAGTGACTTCCAATATCTGGTACCCTGGTGGGACAGCGGACAGACTTGCAACATTAAAATCCAGGTTCGAGAATATAAATGAATTGTGATAGAGCGCAGTAAACATTGATCTCAAGGATATCTAACTTTGTTATTACTTAATGATTTTAAATATCAGTAAAACAAGAGTACGTAACTATGTTATTACTTAATGATTTTAAATAACATAGCCTTAACAGTGTTTTGGTTTATTTTGTTTTACGTTGTTGGTTTGAATTTCGCGTAAAGCTACACGAAGGCTATCTGCGCTAGCTGTTCCTAATTTAGCAGTGAAAGACTAGAGGGAAGGCAGCTGGTCATCACCACCCACCGCCAACTCTTTTAACAACGAATAGTGGGATTGACCGTCACTTTATAACGCCCCAACGGACGAAAGGGCTAGCGTGTTTGGTGGGATGGGGATTCGAACCTGCGACCCTCAGATTGCGAGTCACGCGCCCTAACCACCTGGCCATACCACAGTTAACTACATACACAGCGTTGAACACAGAAATTAAGCACTCTGATATTGTTCTCTACTTTAGATTATGTAACTGGAACCAAATATAATAGTGGTGTTATTAATGTACAAATATGTGCAAACAACGTTCCTACCACATGGGCGAGAAGCGTTGTCTTAGTGTAAATTAAAGCGTACAAGCGATCTTTCATGTTTAGTTCTGTCTATAGGTGTGTGGTCTTCTCATGCACGCTTGACAGATAAGAATGGTAACCACAATAACTGTACAAATGGCAGAAAATGTTATAGTTAAATCGGATTTCTTTCATCGCTGGAATGAAGGAAGAGATGTGTCACTGGGGGGGGGGGGTGTTCTACAATAACTAAGCCAGTTTTACAAAGATGTATTTCATGGGAAAGACCATGTATAAGTGGGACAACAATAACCTATCTGCATTCCACAGTCAGTCTCTATTGTAAGTCATATATGTATGTGTTTATGTGTGAAACATTTGGAATTGCTTTGGTGAAAATAATATATTTATCTGTCCAAGTTAAAAGGACAAGAAATAATTAATACGTTTCACATATCACATAGGAGATCAAAGGAGGCGTAACAAGTATTTTCATATTGGTAGTATCAGAAATAAGTTATTAAAATTGCTGAATATAGCATTCTATTATTTCTCGGTTAGAGGGCGTTATGTTAATGTGGCATGTCTTATGAAAGCACCTATCCAAAATGTGGCTATTAACTTTATCTCTGTCAATTTCCCTTTTCACTATGGTTTTGTGTATCTTAATCATTTAGCATGAACACTGCCAGACCTTCACCACAATGCCTCTTTAAGTGTGTTACAACCATCCCTACTATACGATACTAAACATATGCTCAGTGTGCTATAGCCATCTCTGATGACCTACTACCCGATGCTAAACGTACATTAAGTGTGCTATAGTCATCCCCAATTACCTGTTATGCGATGCTAAACGTACCATGTGTTACAACCATCATCAGTGACCTACTACACGTTGCTAAACGTACAATAAGTGTGCTATAACAATCCCCAATGACCTGTTATGCGATACTAAACGTACCATGTGTTATAACCATCATCAGTGACCTACTACACGTTGCTAAACGTACAATAAGTGTGCTATAACAATCCCCAATGACCTGTTATGCGATACTAAACGTACATTAAGTGTGTTATAACCATTCTCAATGGCCTACTACACGATGCTAAGCGTACATTAATTGTGCTTTAACCATCCTCAGTGATCTACTAAATAAGAGCATATAGGTCACATTCAAAGGGTCAGATGCCATAACACTCTCTGACTCTTTATTTATTTGCTTGTTTGTTGTTTTGGTTTTTGTTGTGTTTTTTTTTACTGCTGTTGAATAATCTACATCTTTTTAAGTATTTGATAGCGTTGTTTTTAAGTATTTGATAGCGTTGTTTTTAAGCATTTGATAGCGTTGTTTTTAAGTATTTGATAGTGTTGTTTTTAAGTATTTGATAGTGTTGTTTTTAAGTATTTGATAGTATTGTTTTTAAGTATTTGATAGTGTTGTTTTTAAGTATTTGATAGTATTGTTTTTAAATATTTGATAGTATTGTTTTTAAATATTTGATAGCGTTGTTTTTAAGTACTTGATAGTGTTGTTTTTAAGTATTTGATAGTGTTGTTTTTAAGTATTTGATAGTGTTGTTTTTAAGTATTTGATAGTATTGTTTTTAAATATTTGATAGTATTGTTTTTAAATATTTGATAGTGTTGTTTTTAAGTATTTGATAGTGTTGTTTTTAAGTATTTGATAGTGTTGTTTTTAAGTATTTGATAGCGTTGTTTTTAAACATTTGATAGCGTTGTTTTTCTGGAAAGGAATATTTATATTATTATGGGCTCTATTTTTAAAACTAGACACTTCCAGGTTTGTATTGTTGTATGACCGGTGGGAAGATTAGGAAACTACTTGAGCTATATAAGAAGTGAATTAGACAAAAATAGATTTTATGTTGATCATTTTATCAGTCAGCAAAGTCAATGAATATTTCAGAAAGTGACTGTTACAGTTACAATAGATTATTCATTAACTTATTAAAAAGATGCGTTGAGTTTGAAGAACGGAGGCATTATTCGATTGAGTTTATCTATCAGTTAGTTAGTTAATTGCTATGATTGTTGTGTTTGGTAAGCAACGGTGCTGTGAAGGCATTTACTTTGAACTCAAGCCTATCAGTGAAAATAACTAGCGAGTAGTCGAAGAAATAAATCGCTTTCTTTAGCATTAAGTGCACTGGACTCTGCACTGATTTCACCGAATAATCCAAGTGAATCTGCCCAACAATGGAAACCGCTATAACAACACATATATTTATAATAAACATACAAATATAGTTTTTTTATCTGTTCTAATTTTCGTTTATTCAGAATTCTTAGTTACATATGTTTGTTTTCGACCAACCATTATCAACTTTATATGTTTGTTTGTAGTTAAGCACAAAGCTACACAACGTGTATCGAAACGCGGTTTCTAGCGTTGTAAGTCCTCAGACGTCCCGCTGTGCCATTGGGAGGCATCAACTTTATTATAAACGCGATTGTTAGAACAATTTCTTACATTTAACGGTTGTTTCTTGAAATGTCGTTTAGTGTAATATATTCATGGTTGATTTTTCCCGGATCTTTCTAATGTTATGTTTCAGTTTAAACATGGACCTTTTCGTTTACCGTATTGTAAATTTAACCTCGAAGTAACTTATGGTATAGTTTTGTATGTCGGATTAATTATCTCATCAGAGGCGTCGCTAGGCTCTGGCTTACGGAGTGCGTGCCCCGATTCTACTTTACAATGCCCCGAGTCCCCAACTTGGTGTGAAACGCTGAAAATTCCAGCGCCTATGGTCCCGATTCCCGAATCTTTTAAGTACCTAACGATGCCTCTGGACCTTATCATTTTTCTACGTTGTAAATTTAGGGTAAATTTTACTGCTCTATATTGCAAATTTAAGCTAAATATCACTACTCTCATTATGTTTTATTGTTATAAACTTAGGCTAAGGTTAAAGATTAAATTGTGTATTTTATAAAACCCAGACTATAAGAATCCAGATGCAGAATTAATCTGAAGGCATGAGATTTTCTTAAAACTGATTCAATTTCACAAAAAAAAACTATTTACATATTAACAAAGCAAAAAAAAGTCATAACAATTTAGAAACTACATCATTCAGGGATCTTGAGATATTTTAAAATGTTATATGTAATTTCTATGATTCCATTAGAACATTAAATGTTATAGGGTTAAAAGAAACGTTGCTCAAATATTTAGATAAGCGCCTTAACTAGTTTGTTCTATAAAATGGCTTAAATGATCAAAATAAGTACAAAGAAATATTTTAAACATATCTGGATAAGTGTGTGACATCATTAGCTCATCAGATCAAATTAACACAAAAACATATTTCCAGGTTTCTGTGTACATTTTTGTTTTCGCATTAACATTTTAAAAACTTTTAACGTAAGCACCAAAGGGTAAATAAAAATGTATGATATAAAATATGCTAAAACTTTGCTTACCAGCTTTAACGCAGAAGGACGTTTTACAGTCGGAGTGGCCTTCAACATAAGCAGCTAGAATAAGCAAACTTTGAAAGATTTTCCACCACATACACGTGCACAATATTCAACATAAATATAAAATAATTACCTTCGTAACTTCAATTTTCTAGACCCTACTTTTATATGTTTATGCTGACTGGAAGATAAAGCAAGTTAATATTGGTAGCAAAGCAAATCTTTACGAAATTCCTGTAAGTAAATTATCACAAATACATGTTTGCTTGCCTGTAGGCCATTCCAGATCAGCACTATATTTTGTGGTATATTTGTTTGCATTGCATCGTACTTAAAAGTTCGTAAAATATAATAACCAAAACAAAAAAAAAGTAGCAGCATTCCTCACTAATGATTTATATTATATTAAGCTTACATTATTCACCTTATGATATATTATAATTAAACTTGGTAATTTTTGTAGATCAGTAGTTCTCAACTAGTGGTAAGCAAGCCTCCTCAACTTTGGACAGACTGTATTCCCATGACAATCTTATTGACAATGTCATTGATGAAGTGGGAATTGGGGACCCATCTTTTGTGTGGAACGTAGTCCGTGTAAAGGAAGTTCATTGAGAATCCCTCTCAACTTTTGGCAGACTGTATTTCCATGACTATCTTATTGACAACGTCTTTGATGAAGTGGAAATTAGGAACCCTTCTTGAATCGAAAACAAAATTATACTTGATGGAGTTACGTTGTACCTCACGGAACAGGCACAACCTTCGAACTAATGGTGATTTAAATTTTTACTACGTTTTTAAATTTTAGGGTTTATTTAATTCGAGGGGGTGCTTATATCATTTAGTTGAAAAGAAAGTAATAGTTTGTTTGGTTATAGTTAACCACAAAGCTACACAATGGGCAATCTGTTAAGTGCCCACCACGGGTATCGAAACCCGGCTTCTAGCGTTATAAGTCTTCAGACTTACCACTGAGCCACTGGAGGACAAAAAGTGGTAGCCAGTTCCAAATAGGTTGGGAACTGCCGATCTAAATTGTACTGTATATGGTTGGAAATGGTTATTCTTTATTATAATCAGAATGTGTCACTTACCTAGCTTCTGTGATGTGAGTGTCACGCTCACAATAATTAGTATGAATACTAACACAAATAAAGCGATGAGCTGTATTCGTTCCAACAAGGTTCGTCTCTCCCAAGCATTGATTTCAGTTCTAGATGTGAACATAAAAGTTCTAGATATGAACATAAAAGCTTTTATCAATTCCATTTCTTTCATCAATACTTTTATGCACAGAAGTTTGTTCAATAATAAACTTTTTTAACCAGAAAATAAAACAAAGTATTAAGTTATCAAAACTTTCACATAACTCATGATTGAATATTTACAAAAAACTGTGTTCGGATAATCGCCCTGCCTTTTTTATTAGACAATGGTAACAAGTTTAATTAACTTTCCTTTTGTGTTGCTTTTCTGATAATACAGTAGTGTTGTGATGTTATACCAAGTGTTGTGGCCATTCTTTCTGTGGCTATCATGGTATATCTTCCGTCTGTTTTTTTTTGTGTGTTTTAGAGAAAAACCACAATGGGCTGTCTACTGAGGCCACCACGAGGAATCGATACCTGGATGGTAGCGCTGTATATTCTTAAAGTTATCGCTGCCTCTCCGGAGGATGAATGTTTTTCGACATAGTGTATAAAATTTAATCTCTTTTTTTTACTAACTTTCATTCTTGGTATATTTTATATTTCCTCTATTCTTTATATCTTTATATCTGCGCATTTTATTTCAAAAATCATATTGTTTGGAAATGAGACCAGTGTGTGCGATCATCCGCCCACGTGTATGTCCTGATCTTTAAGCCTAAAATTGGTTAATTTCACAATTAAAATAATTCTGTTGTAAGAAAGATAACATTAGAATAATATGTATTTGATGTAACTGATAATTTTAGAGGTATAAAGGTACGTTATGTCTGTTCATGAGCCATGAGCTAAAAGGTTAAAGAATTATATTAATTAACTCGGTAATAAATGAGTTACCAGAATGGTAACCTATATGTCTGTGTAATCAGAGTAAATTATTTAAAGAGTTAGCTTTAGCAGGCTAGAATTAGCCCAAACGTTATAAAGATAGACTTACCTGACCAAAAATAAATAAATCAATAGTTGTATGTGTCAGTTTTCTTAGTGAGTGGATTTAACACTCAAAATTAATTTCTCATATATATATTCGTTTATTAATTTGTTTAATTCTGCCATATCAGTCGAGGTTCTGTGAAAATAAAGTCACCAATTCTAGCATGAATCCAATGAAAGTGTGAAAGTTTGTGAACCATGAGCAGGGAAAAATTTCTCGTCGCTTTGATTGTCCTCAAGAATGGTGTCTGATTATCATACTTTTTCTGGTGTTTAAAAGTTCACATAGTTGAGGTTAACATTAAAAAAAGAGCAGAAATCTTCAGAAATGTTGTCATCTCAGCAAAAAACATAACATAATGTTCTATTCAAAAAAGTAAAATCACCTTACAGTTTAAAAGAAGAAGTAGTGTCAATGTCTACTGATTTAAAATCAGCTTACAGTTTAGAAGAAGTAATGTTGATGTTTTCTGATGTCAAATTTGCATCATTTTAGTAAATATCGGACACTGTTCTCTGTGAAGTCTACATAATTATCACAGATTTTCACTTATGGTAGAAACAACATGTCCAAACATGTTTTGCAACACACCACGAGTTTTCGATTTTTTTATCAGCATATCCTCTTATACAACGATCCAGTGGTGGAGCCTAAACATTCCACTGTATAGCAAAAACAGGTTAATTTATACAATAAGCGACTAACAATCGTATACTCTTAGGAATGACATCCTTTATATATAACCATATTCTTGCGAATAAGCTAAACATTTATTATGTAACTTTGAATAAACTGTTCTTCGTCGACAAAAAAATAGAAAAATAAAAACGACAGTGTTGTATCGTGTACTTGAATACTTGAATGTAGACCCTACAAAGCTATGCACGTATTGGAACTTCCTGGTGTCCATAGACCGGATTGCGGTCTTTGTGCCAGATCTGACAAAGGTGTTTACTTGTATGTCTTTCTGGAAGGGAACAGGAAGAATCATGAGATAAGCGTCTTTACTTTGCTATGATAAGTACAGGCTGGAAAATTGATGATGCGTGATTTGTATGAAGAAAGATGCAGGTATCTGCTTCTTCTTGCGATGTCTTCAAATGCTCAACTTTTTCTTGTCCATTTTTGGTATCCTGGCATGGCCAAGTGGCTAGGGCGCTTGACTCGCAACCTGTGGATCGTGAGATCGATTCTCCGACACCGACATGCTCGCCTTTTCAGCCATAGAGACGTTATAATGCGACGGTCAATCCCACTATTCATTGGTAAAATAGTAATCCAAAAGTTGGCAGTAAGTGGTGCTGACTAGCTGCCTTCCTCTAGTCTATCACTGGTAAATTAGGGACAGCTGTCGCTGATAGCCCTCAAGTAGCTTTGTACAAAAATCAGAACAAATCCAACCATCTTTGATTATTCATGTGCACACATGTGAGGTATAAGACCTTAAGTTTAGTTGATGTGCCAAATTTGGTGTTTTGTTGTATATAAGAAACTTCATCAACCAGATTTGCTAGTTGGACAAGCCAAACATCTTGCTAGATTCTATGACTAGGTACAATGTTATTGAAGACAACACCTGTGCTTGATCATCTCATGGTCTTTCTGCATTTTCTGTAGACATTTGTCGAAAGGCATCAATGACTGCTTTGATTCAACAAATGCTACTTATCCTCTTGTACTTTATGAACACTGCTTATCCTATCAGTGATTCAGAAAAGTATTCCTAGGATGGTGTCTGTTGATGACACACAGTGCAGTTTTGTTGTTGTTGTTTTTTCATAGCTTTGTCACAAATATCTAATTACTAGTGTTCAGCTAATTCATGTTTAGGTTTCCTTCATTTTTTTCATTGAAAAATCCGTGAATTTTACCGATATTTTCGTCCATAGTTTTTATTGAACACATGTTTATAGAAGTTATAATGGTTAAAACGTTACTATCCATTTACCTGTTTCGACCTCTGCCGATAGGGGCTTAAGCTATTCACATATAAATGTTTATTTCTAGGGCATAAGGTTCAAATGGAACCGTATTTGTACCATTTGGCTAGCCTGTCTCACTGATCCGAGTTTGTAGGTCTAAATATAAATGTAAAGGGGATAAAGCACTGGCTTATTAGTTTGTTGGATTAATAAAGAGTATGTTAGTTTGATTAATGATACAGTATACTTGATAATAAGCTTTTGTTCTGATAGGAATATGTGTTACCCTTTCATAATTTGTGTAAATATATTTTAGTATATTATAGATAATGTTTTCTAAGTCTAGTTTTTCACATAGTTATTGACATCTTTGTCAACTAGAAGTGGAAAGGTTGTAAACTTGGACTAATCCTCTACTAAAAGTTACCCAGCATCACAGTTGTTCAACAGATGGGTAAAGATGTTTGGCATCAAAAGAGATGCTCAGACAAAACATTAATGGAACAACAGTTTGAATTTGAATTTGGCTATGGTACATACCTCCAGTGTGTAACTAACTCCGTTGTGGCTGGTCTGATCTTTATCTTGTTTGTCCTTAGGAAACATAAGGAATGAATTTATGAGTTACAGCAGTCACGTGATGCGCGTGTGCTTGTTGAACTTATCAGTAAGCTTAAACTCTACATCACAGATGTACACGGTTATTCCAGGAATTATAGGTGGAAGAGTGATAAAAAAAGATACTATGTTGTATGATCTAGAGTCAGCTGATTCGATGAAATAAACTGGTAGTATATATATCTGGCTGTTCGTGAGGGTTTGGCTGAAGAAGAATTAGTCGAGAAGTAGTCTCTCTGCTCAGATGATTGGTCGAGGTGCTGAAGATGCTAATATTCATTACTAGGATTAAGTGCTTAACCAGTAGTTAGGAAGATCAAATGATTGATTAAACCAAAAGCTCAAAGGGATTAGTTTCCCTGCTTTCTTAGATCTTTATTGTTGGTTTGCAATCTTATAAATGAGTGGACGCGACCTCATGTTGTGTCACCGTGTGAGATTATGCCAGATGGTCTGGAAGTCCGTATAGTCGTCAGAAATTATGCTTTAGTATAGCATGAGAATTGACATAGACTGTATAAGTGAGGTAAAATGTATATGATTTTGCTATATTTTTGTCTGGGTTAATTTTCCTGTGTATCTAATGTAGTATGTCTTCGCGACACTTAGATAGCGGTATTAATGTGAAAGTATCACTTCGGACTAACTGTTGTGTCATTCCTTGTGCATGTACTGTGTTTATCTCACTGAATTTCTATCTGTTTTGTAATTGGTAACAAGAAAAGTGATTTGAATTCATTATTATGGCAGAAATATCCATTTCTGCTTATTTTCATTTGCGATTACCTTTATTTTTGTGATATTATTTTAGATAGAATAATAATAACTCTCTGGATGACGGCTAAAGGATTTTATATTATATACGTGATTTGATGCGAGCGAAAATCGCGACTGACAATAAAGTCAGCTGTCGTGGATACCACGTTAGCCATTGAAAGGTGATGTCATGTAGTGTATGTAGATGTTGGTTTAATGTGTGATATTGAGAAAGATCCGTGTGTTCATGAATCTGTTTTTCATGAAATGTATGGGATAGTATATGTGTATCTAATTATGTATTTAATGAACATAATACATGAAGGATTACAACTTTTCAGGCAAATAAAGAATGTGCTAGGAAATCTAAGGATTATCTAACATTCACACAGAAAATGTGTTCTTAATGTTTCAGTTTGGCAGTACACTAGAATATCTGTGAGCAAAAGATTTTTACGGTGGGACAGGTACAGATTTCTATTCGAATATGCACACCACTAAGTAAGAAACATATTAGACCTATTGTTTTAATTGGTACTGGTGGAGGAATGTGATCATATTAATATCATCATGGTTTATCCTTTGATGACTAATGTACAATACATTTTTATTGAGACACATTTTATAATTTTCCTATATTTCATGCAAGTTTTCTGATATGTAGTTAATCTGTTCTAGGTCAACTAGATGTGCAAAAGTTCTAAACGCACACAAATCCACTTGCTTAGGAAAAGGCTACATACTGTTATGATTATCCCATAAAAACTTGTACTACTTTGACAATGTGCCTATGTCT